AAGCGTATTGACCCCCATTTTTTGATTTGAATTTTAATTAAGCTATGTATGCAGAAACTAAAAATATACTTGGCAAAAAAAGTTTAAGACTTTAAATATCAGGATCGAACGTCGTTAAGAGAGATCCACAGAAAATATTGAAATACAAACTTTAGATACTTATGGTAAGAAATCGCACTCAAACAGAAAAGTGAACAAATTTATTTAGAAAAGAAAAGCAGAAAATAAAATTAAATATTTAATTTCAAGCCGTTTTGCTTTTTCCCTTGCAGAAGAAGATTGAGCAAAAACGAGTCACTATTAAACTGATCTTGGCTGCATACAAACTACTACTGGTAAGAAAACAACGAATCTTTCTGTATACTCTGTATATGTATGCAAATAAAAAAAATTATTTTAAAGAATAAAGTAACTGTATGTATTTTTTTCTTAGTAGGAAAGGAACGAGGCCAAGATAATGCATGTATATGTATTGAGGAATGTGCACAATGAGTTATTGGTGAGAATACACTAATGTTTTACATTTGACATTACTCTATCTGATAGAGACAGTTTGTTTAATTTATTTTTATCCTTTATTGTAAACTTCTTTATAATTATAATTTTGAAGAATAAAGTAACAAATTCTTACTTTGTGAGCATCCAAACTGGTAGTTCATTTATCAACTAGCATTCAATTTTTTTTTATAACTTTTCGTCGTGAGAAAAAGAAGAAAACACAGATTTATCTGGAGATAGAAGGTCTCCGCTAAATACACCAAAAGTAACATTTAGGATTCAGAGATCACAGTTCAATAATATTTTAATGTATATTCTCCATTATATAACCTACATTAATTTTTAAATTTATAGATGAATATATTACATTTCAGATACTGACAGAGAAAGAAATAAAAATTGGTTAACAGAATTATTTGCAGCATTTTCAGTGGTTTTGAATAAAAATTTCTACATCCACAGTGACATTTATTTAGTAGACTTAATTTTTTTATTGGATTAAATTGAATAAACCTTTGAAAGAGTTTCTTTTTATTCCTCTGTTTGGTATGTTTCGAGAAATAATCTAATAACGTTATCTGTAAAATTAAATATATACAATCGAAACTGAAACAGTGTAAAAATGGGATACATGTATTTAAATCAGCCCCCATAGCTATAAAAAAAACTTAAAGTATTTTATAAAATATAAATTAGAAAAAAGTGTATTGAATCCATATTCCAAAAAAAAATGAGGACTCCATATCTCAAGTTCCTTTGGTAATTACCGCTGGAATAATATGTCTAATAATTTTCTTACTATACAAGACCTGTTACCGATATCAAATTAAATTTTTCAGTACAGTCTCTTTGTGTACACACGGTATCTATAAAATATAGGTACCGGTATGTGGTTATAAAATCATACTGATTAGGATGTTGTTCAACAACTAGTACTAGCTCTTACTTAAGCTATCTGGTTTTTATCAGATAGTATCTTTTGAACCTTTGCTCTCCAGCTATTATTTTTATCTTTTTCCAAACGACGCCATATTTGCCATAATCATGCAGTAAATTGCATTTTAAATTGGATTGATTAAAACAACTTTAGATGATATTGTCATAAAGTAAGTTTCAGAATTTAGCACAAAAAAAATCTTTTTCTCTTGAGTCTCTTGACAATGTTAATGGTTTATCTATTATGTAAACAAATTTTTGGTTTCATGTTATAAATATTTTCTTGTTATTTCTTCAATGTCAAACAAAAGCAAAAATTGAACGTTCGATTGTCTTCATCTACAATTATAAAGTATTTGTCAAATTCTAATTATTTGTACAAATGATAAACAAAACTAGAAAGTCTGCTATTGCAAGCAATAGCTTATATCGTCCCGAACTGGAGAAGACTTTCAATTTATTACATCACTAAAACAATACCTATTTTAGCTAAACTTGGAAAACCATTAACTCGTATCAGTCCTTTCAGTACTTTCAGTACTCTGATTTAAAAATGAAAGTTAAAGAATTTTCACTTTTCCCCTGTTTCCATGGAAACTATTGACAATTTCCAATTTTTAAATCCAATGAGCACAATTACAGATGCTATTCATTTACATCAATAAAATTTCATCAAGAATTTTCAAGGGACCAGAGAGAACACTCGCAGACAAAATTCGTCGCTTTTTGCAGGTTTCCGTGGCAACGGTAGCCATTTGGAAACTGAATGACCACACAACACAACTACAACCAGTGATCCTCTTTTGAATAAAGTTTCAGAAATATTGCCCCAGCCATTTCTGAAAAACAGCTTGTATAACAAAAACATGCGTACAATCGTGATATGTCGTTCCCGACTTCGTTCGGGACGACATAATTAAAACTAAGAGAAAAAAAAATAATCGAGAAAATTTGCCATTTTACATTTCTAATGATGTCCCAATGAATTATATATGAGGTGTGTTCCTATTTCGCCTTAACTGAAAAATAAAGGTGAGAAAAGACTAAAAATCTGTGTCCCCCACTTAAGAAAAAAAAGAAGGCATGTGCAGATGGGGGTTGTCGAAAGGGGGGTTAAGAATGGAGTTATGGTGTAAAATTTATCTGTAAGAAGTCAAAAAAATTCTTGAGATATTCCACGGAAATGAAAGTTTTACACACAGAGAATGTATGATTTTACGACCCTGTATTTTGACCTTTTGATCTCAAAATAAATAAGTGTCTTCCTTAAGCCAAAGAAGTTGTTATATAAATTAATGTCATTGCAAAAGCCGAAGGCTTCTCGAGATATTGCACGGAAAGGAAAGTGTTAAAACAGGCAGAAGTTTTGAATTTATGACCTTAGCCTTTTGACAGAAAGATGGACAGATTGAAGGACATACATACCAAAATTAATATCCCCACTTTCAGCAGGGTTCAGAAAAGGAGAATGCAAGTATCTATATTAGGGGTTGGGTGGGTGGACAAAGGCGGATCCAGGGCCGGCGCGCCGGGCTTGTGCCCCCCCCTCCCGTTTTAAATTTTTATATGTAAAATTTATATGGCCATTGAACTTGTCAGCTTCCGGGGGCGAAGCCCCTGGAACCCCGAAGAAGACCTTGCTTTAGACCCACTGGGCTTCAGTACAGTCGCTAGACCCTCTGACTTCTACTGCCCCCGTTTCGAAATTCCTGGATCCGCCACTGGTGGATTGGTTCGGAATGTAGGCGTGGGGGGGGGGGGGGGGAGGGCACTTCAAGAGGAGTGGGCGGGGCTATAGGGAAACGTCAGTTAATGACATTGATATTTTTGTTCCCTGCGTTCACCCTGTCACCGAAAGTGAAGACATTTAATTCGGCCTGCCCGTCCGTCTGTCTAGCTGTATTTCTGTCTGCCTGTAACACTATCGTGTCCACGCGATATTCAGAGAAGCCTTTGAGCTTATGTAATGAAATGTCACGTAGCAACTTCCTATTGCCTAAGGAAAACAATTTTGATTTAGAGATCAAAAGATCAAAGGTCAAGGTCATAAATTAAACAAGAGACACGGGGTGCACGTCGCTCATTTGAGCAAATAACTAGGTAAAATCAAAAATCAGTTCAGTATTGAAAAGTTTCAATATATTATAAAAGTGGGTTCGAGGGAGGAGGAGTGAATGGGAGGGGTATTTGAACAAACTTAAATTTACACTTTCTAAGAATGTTTTTGAATTAATATATCACAAAATGGCTTTATTGTTTATTGTTATATTTGATCCATTTTTATGATGCTTTTGAATTGATGATCATTCATGTCTCTGTCACTAATTTTAACGGTTTGTCCCATGTATTATGCAAAACTCTGACACCCTATTTTGGTCCCAGTCTACCCCGGGGAGTCATGATTTAAACAAACTTGAATCTACACTACCCAAGGATGCTTCCATATATCAACTATGACTTATTACAACTTTGCTGTTCTCAAGAAGAAGAACTTTAAATGTTTTTATGTCATTGTAAACGAAGTCTCGGGGGTATATAGTTTTTGTCGTGTCTGTCTGTTTGTCTGCTTGTCCGCAAAAACTTAAACCTTGCCCATATGTGTATTTCTTGTGACAAGACCTTTCTCTTGTTCCACCAAATTTGACCTTTTGATCTTGACCTTTCATTGAGTATCAACAACTTTAAACTTTTGACCTAAGAGATTTCTGTACTTCTAAAAAACTTTAACCTTGGCCATAACTTTTGAACCGTAAAGGCTAGGACGCTCATATTTCACATTTGTGATCCTTGTGACAAGACCTTCATTTGATATCAAGAACTTTGACCCTTTGACCTTGACCTTGGAGTTTATCTCAGTTTTACATCAAAATATCCAAACTTTTATTTCGTCCCTAATTTTTAAACAGTAGATACTAGGAATTGCATATTTTTAATATCAATTGATATTCTTTGTAGCAAGGTCTTTCATTTGAAATCAACAATTTTGACCTTGATCTTGGAAATTACCGTATAACTTTGGTCATTACTTTTCAACGCTAAGGGCTAGGACTTTCATACTTCACATATGTAATCCTTGTGAAAAGATCTTTCATTGCATATCAACAACTTTGATCCTTTGACTTTAAACTCAGAGTTTGACCTACTTTTTACAAATTTTAACCGTGGCCATAACTTTGGAACAGTAAGGGCTAGGGCTTTCATACTTCCCATATGTAATTCTTGTGACAAAACCTTTCATTGGATATCAACAACTTTGACCTTTTGACCTTGACCTTGGAATTGACCTACTTTTTACAAACTTTTACCTTGGTCATAATTTTTGAACGGCAAGGGTTAGCACTTTAATACTTCCCATATGTAATCTTTGAGACAAAGCCTATTTTTAGAAACGAACAACAATGACCTTTGATCTCGACCCCGGAGTATACCCTTCCTTGAAAAACCTTAACCTTTGTCATAACCTTTAAAAAAGTGGTGCTAGGGTTTTATATTTCACGTTTGCCTTTCTTGTGAAAAGACCCTAATTTAGGTACCAACAAGTGGTTAATATTTTTTTCAATATTATTTAATTACAGCCAATTGCAATATGGCTACAAATCTTGATCCACACACCAATTTTTCCCGAGCTTGTCGGGCCATTGTTGACCTCAATACTGACATATTAAGGGATGAGCTGGATTCTCACGTCACACCATCAGACATAGCCAACAGAGCTACTGCCTGTACCAAACTACCAAGCCTCCGACCAGAACAATTAATGGACAGCAATCAACAACGCCGCCACTAAAGGTTCCTACGAAGATTTCGACAGCTCTCTGTTGTACATCATGATAAGGTAATACATTTTTGTATATATCTGCATATATCTCTCTTTTTTGCTTTTGCTTAAATTTTTTAACCTATGAGGGCTGTTCGGAAATTAATGGGTCATTCTGTTTATTTTTCAGTCTAATTATAATGAACGTCTTTCGGTGAAAAATTGCATAAAGGTTCGACAAACATAACAAATTAATAAAAGCAAGAAATATTTTACAATATTTAATTTCTTTTCTTTAGTGGTATATAAAAGTGCCAGTGGGTGCCCGGGGGCAGTCACAATGTCAGGTACTGCAAATAAGTAAAAACAACGTTCAAATCCCCGGTGAACCCATAATAACCTATCAGGCCGTATAATTCTTTTGAATATCTTGATTTTGTATTTCTACATTAGATTTTTACTGGAATTCGCCCTACCAAGGTTGTCGCTCGGTCATCTCCGTAAACTTTCAAACATCGGCTGATTCCATTACATGTACCTTCTTTAAACAAGAAAGAGGAATAGAATAATCATAGACTGTAAAGCCTGCAAGCAATAAAAATCAAATTTTATATACAATGAAATTAAAGAGACCTTTTTATTTATTGCTATAAAAATTATATTATTAAGAATTAATTATTGCTGATTTTGTTGTTCGTTTTGTCATTTTTTAAGATTGAAAATCTTGCAAAATTGTTAAGTCGTACGAAAATTATATCATCAGAAAGTTATCTCCCTGCCTTGAACATCATTTCAACCAATGAAATAATTGAAAATTTTCTCATCATGCAATTTCTACCAATCACAAAAGAGAGCTAGGAAGTGCATAGTCCGAAGACTGTAAAAGACTTCAACTATACAATACCGTCTTCCAAGGAAGACGGTATTCAATAAAGGCATGATTTTTTTTAAAACTATCATTTTAATCGAAAGAAAAAAATATTTACAATTAAACACCCAATTTTATGTTAACGCCCCCAAAATCTACCTGATTCAAGATCAATAATTTACCGCCTGTCAATCATTAAAAAAACAATAGCTTCTGATTTGATTGACAGGTCAGCTACCTGTACCTCCTGATATTCTGAGTTTGCATTTTTGAAAACAATTATAATTACCTGGTCACGCGTCAAACACTTTCATGTACCCGCACAGTATACACGCGGATTAGAAAACTCCAATATGTTTGAATTTTATTTCAAAAAATAATTGAAAGTAGATTATTAACACATTAACATAATAAAATATTTCTTTTCTATCTTCATTGCTTTTTGTTACTTGTAAGTGTTATATCGTCCACGTTTATCTGTAGAAAAAAAGACCGCGTCCAGAGAAACCGGCTCTAATTGCCGTAATTAGAAGTCCGACGAATTAAATTATTTTTTAAGAAATGGGATATAAGAAAAATATTCAGCACTAATAAATGGCACAGCATACTAGTTTTTAAAAGATGCTTAAGTTTGTACTTTGGCTACAATCTGCGCGATGTTGCGCAGAAATTGATGTCAGAATTAATGCTCAAATTTCCTCTAGCGTCTGTATATGTACGTAATGAAAATGTGAAGATAATTAATAGTGATCGATTCTGAAAAGAAGTCTTTCTAACAATAAAATTTTGTTATCACACGAAGAATCTAAAATATGGAATATTTTGGACAACATTGTTCCGATCGCGGCAGGGACCTATATACTAATACCGTTAGTATATAGGTCCCTGATCGCGGTAAATGCATGTTCACATGCACGACGAATAGGTGGATCAATAATTTTTTAATTTCAATAGTCAGACTTTTTTAATCAGGCGATTTCTTTTATTGAAGATTAAAAAAGATAAATATTATTGATTTGTAGTTTTTACTCGTGAATTTTTCTTTTATGTAAGGAAAACGTTTTCTAAAACGATATGCATGTATCAAAACATTCCATGATTACGATGAATGCGCACGTTTAGTTTACAAATAAATTCCATATTAAAATAATTATTTTACATAGTTTCACTCATAACCAGACACAAAACACGTAATGTTGACCCTGATTACCAAACACAGACTTCCTGTGTAATGCTTCATATACACAGATTTTTGACATCTTGGGTATTTGGGGTCTCCAGGTAAATAACACCACTGTTACTTTGACCACTCCCCCTCCTCAGGTAACCGTACGGTAAAAAAATTGGGTCTTTAAAATAAATTTGAGATACTGTTTCATTTCGTAAGTCATACCTTAAAGACCCAATTTTTGTACCGTACGGTTACCTGAGGAGGGGGATCAGGTAGATTTTGGGGGCGTTAACATAAAATTGGGTGTTTAACGAGGCCGAGTCTAATTATTTCTGCCCTAGGGATTTTAACAATTTTATGATAATTAATTTTTACTGTTATTTGTATTGTTTTAGGATTAAAAAATATGTTTCTTGGGAAGTTCTGAGTTTATAGTATAATATCCATAGACTTCTTGAACATACAAGCGAGTCATGCGTCATTCTTCAGCGTCATGCATTGCTAACAAAATCCGAAAATGTTGACGTCGTTAGAGCCATTTCAGCGGTTTTTACTAATTATTGTCGTAAATCACATTTTCGGATCAGTAGGAGTTACAGATAATGTTAATTTTGAATTAAAATCAAAATAATTTTCAAATGTGTAATGTCACACAAATGACTACATGAAATTTAAAAGCTGTGCGAAGTGATGCGCACTCGAATTAGACTCGGCCTCGTTAAAAACGGACATAAGCTCATTAGGATAACTACCCATGGACCTTCGAGGATAATAATAATCATAACAGCCCTCGTATAATCAAGTTTATTATATACCTAATGTGTATCACCCAATTTTACTGTTGAATTTACGCTATCACGTGATGTCGTGATCCGATTTTCCGGATCACCAACATGTTGTTTTCTGAATCCATATCACCACTCTCTGAAACTGATGACGTAGTACGCAGAAATATGACGTTATTTTTCTTGCGCGTTAAAAGTCCCTTGTTATTATGCTTTGTTTTATGGGTAAATGTTATGCAATTGATCTCTAAAGTTTTCTTTTGCTATATTTTGCTAGTTATGAGGGGGTATATAATAAATTTATCATTATAACAGTAACTTGATCCGAAGAGCCGTATCACGTCTCGTTGACAGGCGCGGATCATCAGATCAAACTCGACGCTTCGCGTCTCGTTAGATCTGATGATCCGCGCCTGTCAACTCGACGTGATACGACCCTTCGGATCAAGTTACTGTTATAATAATATATATTTATCATATTCTTATTAGTAGATACACCGATTCTGCACGGTGTGATACGGGTGACGTCACAATACCCCATATCATGAACCGGTCCGAAAAGCCATATCACGTATCGGACCGGTGTGCCGAAAATACATATCAAACCCAAAGTAACGTTTGTTTAAAATTTTAAAGTTAATTTACTTGATTTTATTGAAATATACATGTAAAATAATTCTTTAAACAATTGTGGCCGAATTTTTTTTCAGTTATCTAAAATTGGGTCCATTAATTTTTTTTTTTAAAGAGGTTATAAACAGGCACAAAATATTCTTTGTAAACTCACATATTAAGTATATCAAATATATGATAAATAGAATACTACACACTAAAGTCCATATCATATGTCACGGCCCGAGGGCTGATAAGGGGCCACTCGGGCTGATGTGACATATGATATGGATTTTAGTGTGTAATATTCTCTATTTACCAAGCATTCCGAGAGCTCTCTGGATAAGCAATCTCTTGCAATGTCCAGTGCCGTCTGTTTTCCATAAAATTTAAGAAGGTCTATATAAAGAAGATTTTTAAACCGTGGAAATAAAACGACTCACAGTACATGTATATATACAAGAAAGAGGGCAAAATGATGCATTCTTCATTCTACAACAAAAGAAGATGGGTGAACAAGGCGGACAGAATGCCTATAGCGTCAGATATTAAGAAATCATATTCAGTATGTGAACTGAGTGATTAAATTGGCTTGAAATTTTTTAAATTATGAGGGGAAAAAACCCTTTTTTGAGTGTACTTTTAAGGTATAGTGGGTCTTCGCTCCATGTTCTTGTAAACCATAAAATGTGTATCTTATTGAACACTTTTTTGATCATCTTTCAAAAAAATGGAGAGAAGACCCACCCATATTGAAAAATGTTGTTTAGGTATGAGAAAATGATCGTTTTTGTTCATTTTAGTGTGTGTAAGCTTTTCCATAGGCAAATATTTTCAGTCTTTGTGAGATTTTTGTAAATTGTAGAGATTATACATAAAGTATACTTTAATTTAGATGTAATATCAAATAAAATTTGGATTTAATAGATCGAGTTAAAATAAATAATGATTAAAGGATGATACATTTGCTCATTGCATAAAAGTTCTTTGAATAGTATTGACGAAAGAAGTTAATTTAAAATTTATGTGAGCTTACTAGTTTCGATATGTTAACATATACATATGTAATAAATAAATGCAAACAAATGAGAAATTAGAAATGTTCTGTTTGTCTCTTGTAGAAATCTTACAAGTTAGAAACAAACGAGATATTAGAATTTCTCTCTCTTTCTCTCTTTCTCTCTCTCTCTTCTTCTTGCTTGTAGAAATTTTACTCGTTTGGAGATGTTTACAACAGCGAGCAAACGAGATATTAGAATTGCTCTGTTTGTTTCTTGTAGAAATTTATGCTCACTTCCGCCACCTAAACTTGGATGGAACAAAAAGCCTCTTGCGACAGATGTCTCAGTGGCAGCAGATGTAGAAAGGATCCGCTTCTACAGAAATGAAGTTTATGGACATACCACTCGTGCGGAAATATCAAATGCTGATTTTCGAGTAATATGGTTGGATCTCGAAAAGATATCTGACAGATTTGACATAAACAGACCCGGAAAAAACTATAAAAAGGTTAAAAAAACGAAGGGGTGGAATTCGTATTTTTAAATGAAGTTTCCTTACATGAAAAATCTAAAATAAAGAAAAATATTTAAGAAATAAATAACAAGTTTAGATAATCACTAATTACATTAACTTATAACATACCACAACTCTAGCTAGCCGTGGGGTTCTGATACGCTACTGCTTATGAGGAGAGTTGCGTATCAGAAACCCTTGGCTAACGATGATGAATATGCCATTTTTGGCTAAATTTTAATTTTTATCTAATTAAAAGTGATTGGTTAAATGTATTCTAAGTTTCCCTTTTTATCTACTCTTTTTTGCTGAAAATCGTAAAATTCTTTTTATTCTCTTTTACCAGAAACTGGTCGACTTGAGCCAATGCTGCATGGATGAAGAGATGAGGAAAGTCATGGAGGAGAAATTGAAGTCAAGTACATTGTTAGAGGGTAACATTTAAAATAAGTTTGATCTTATGTTGAACCACTGATAATGTCTTTTATCTCATACGTGTTTGGGATACAGCCAATTAGATAAACTTATGCTTTATCCAAGGGTATATATTTATAAATAGCACTTCCGGTTTTGACAGGATCCCTCGCTTCAAGATTTTATGTTATTGGAACTTTTATTTGTGAGAAATGTTGCCCCTATTAAATGAATAAATAGCGATATTATCGTTAAATGCAAGAAAAAAACTCGTATGTGTCAAAGAAGTGTCTTATTTTATCAAGGAACTTGTATTTGCTACTTGAAGACAGATGTTAGCCCCCCGCCACATTTTAAATCTTTTTCGGAGAAAGTAAATTCTAGCATGCAGTTAAGTTGTCGTGATAAGATTCCTTTAACATCTTCAATAATTTTTTCTTATGTGTAGTACGCATGCCTACCTAGTAACTAATGTAGGTGTAACTTACCATAGATCAACAATGAATTTACAAGAAGGCCTCTAGTCTAGCATTGCCTAACACGTTTGGTACTGCCATCGTACAAATCTTTCATTAATTTTCACGATCCCGTGGTCCTTACAACTTTCATTCAGAAGTTCGTTTGATGTAAAGCTTCTGCAATCGTCACATAATGTTGACGCAGTTAGCAAACAATTCTACATTTTGAACACGGTCCACTTTCTTTCGAGGCATGTTAAAATTACGGTGCTAAGTGATAAAGTTTTACGTCATTTATTTGTATGCTTATATGATCCTTCATTTCTTTTATTTGCTTCATATTTAAAACAATATTTTTCAGACAAAGAAATAAAAAATAAAACTGAAAGCTTAAACTTAACAACAGCCTATACATATTATTCATTTCATATCTAGAAGAAAAGAAGCAACGGCATTTGGTTGATGATTGGAAAATCCACGACAAAAGATTCGCCGAGACGAGGGCTTGCAGAGCTGTCAGAGAAGAACTGAAGACAAATCAAAGTACTGAGAGTACTGATAGGCGGAAGCATGTTTGCAAGTTCTCATGTGCAAAACTTTAATGACACATATTTGAAGCATAATCTTTTCTAAAGGGGGGGGGGGGGGATAAATATTTTGATGGATTGTAGTATTGAAACCAAGGAACAAGAATAAACAATGTGTCTCGGTTTTGATGCGGATACATGAGAAAAAGTCACGTCGATAGCAACAAAAAAAAAAAAAACATTTAAACATTTATTATACTCCCGCTTGAAAAGTGGGAGGGTATACTGTAATCGGTATGTCTGTCCGTACGTACGTCTAGCTGTCCGTTCGTCCATTTGTTACGCTTTGGGGTACTCATATCTTATCCGCAATTCCTCTTATACCACTGAGTGAAATTTAATGAAACCTTCACAGAATCTTTATTACATATTGCCATTGTGCACCTACTCTTTTGCTTTTTGATCGGACACATATTTTGGGTTTCCCAGCCACAGCAAAACATGGACTTTTCCATTATAATCATATGGGAGGCGGGGGTATCATTTAGTCAGTTCATTGCTCACAGTACCTCTTGTTTTTGTCAAGTATAACAAGTTAAAATTGAAATGCAAGTTGCAATACATGAAATTTGTAAGATATGGTTTTGGGGAACAAGAAATGGAAAATTATAAAATTTCACACAAAAATGAGAACTAATGAGTAATAAAAAACAATAAATATCACAACTGCTTTTGCGTTTTGTATGTGTACATGTATTAAGTTTTAGTACCAATGAAACAAAGTCTTGTTATAAAACAGCAAATTATATAAGGAATACAACATACACAGAAGACCTTACATAGATTTACAATGTGCTTGTGGTTCTATGAATTGTTTTCATTCAATACATGTATGGCCCAGGTAGTACAAATCACACAAGTCTTTAATGCTGGTGACAGGTGAGCCCTGTGTCATGATGTCCACAATAAATGGAATATTTTTTCAGGAGAGCTTCTACCATGGCAGGCCCTTGAATGCCAAACAGTTTTATTTTTATTCCTGTGGTAAATTTGTCTTTGATGATTGTATTAAAATATTGGTACATATATCCCAATATCAGTGGTGATTTCTTTTCTGGAGATTATCTACACGGTTCCCTTCACAACTGTCTCTTGGCAGAATTTTCTACAAAGTGTATGATTGAAAAAAATTAAGAATATCTCACAATGTTTATTTAACAAAAATTATTTCACATTATGTATCTGACTTTCAATAAATGAAATCAAGGACTTCAAATAACCTTTTATGATATACCGGTTATTTTAATATATTTTCTAGGGAAGTCAATTTTACCGGTTACTCGATCCAAGGTCCAAGCATCGAATACTAAAAAAAGTGAACTCGTTTACTCGGATGTATATTATTTCTTTTTTCAAGGTACACATTTTTATCAGAAACTTATCAATTATAACTAAAACATGCAAATGGTAATTAGCATGTCTTCATCTACACCAAGCTGTAAAACACCCGTTATCGCCTTGATCTACATTCATTCATTCAGTGAAATCTGACATGCAAAGAAATTAATGCCACTATACCCACTTCCAGAGTGAAGTGGGTATATAGATATAACAAAAGATTCAAAACTGCGGAAAGTGAACTTGTGTAGTAAGTTTAGTGTAAATATACTGGAAACAACCAACAAATGAAATAATATGATCCTGACCGACAACATCTGTCCCCTCTCTTTCGCTAGTTATATAACCTACATGTGTACACAGCAGTTTTTCAAATAGATCCAATTAAAACAACCTTTTGTAATTTTGGGTGTATTGTGCATTTGTGTTTTATTTGATAACTAATTTTAGTACCAAAAATTATTTCCAATGGAATTCATAATTATCTGTACATGTAATGAAAAAGTCAGATAAAGTCAGAAAAAGTCAGATATCGAGTAAGCGATTATTAAACATGATAAATATTGACCGATTTGACTTCTCTAATATTTTTTTGTATTTGTTTTCTCTTTCAAAAGCCTACTATTATTAAGTAATCATGTATTTGCATGTATTTAGAAAAAATGAAAAGAAAAAAAATTAGAAAAGTCAAAATATACTTTCAAAAATAGTATTCGGTTCAGTTTTGCCATCAAAACAAGAAGATTTGTTATGCTATAAAAAATATGTATCATAAGTTATGAAAAATTTTTCCACTTAATATCTAGAAATATAATAAATTGATGTACTCACCTTCAGAAAAGTGTTTCTGGTTGTGCTGAGTTGAGTTTTCTTCTGCCATTTAGAGGTGGCACAGGGCAATTCCACAATGCAGTCTTAATTATATCCCCTTTCTGTTAGCTGCCTCCGCAGCAGGGACACATCTATACAAAACACAATGTAGTTCTTATGCTTGCGTTTTAATTTCTGTCCAGATTTTACAGTTTTGGCCCATCCTTCAACATACATGTATTAACATTAAATGAGAAAGGATATATAAATGTATACACAAACTCGGCATGATAATTCCTCAAATAATTTCTCCCAGGCATGTAATCATGCTAATCAGAGTACCAGTTCGTTCGATAAGACCCGACCATAACAGCTATCATATTACGATATCTAACATGTCTAAAGCATGCCTGCATAGGGAGACGACATTTTCAAGGGTGACAATAAAAGATAGGCTAATCACACAGCGTGAGTTACCTTGTTTATTTTGAAGAGAAGGCCTGTCACTTCCAGTCAATCATTGTAAATCATTTGTGCTCCACGTGGGTTTGTTGACAATAATTTCACGCTGAATCGTCTATATGTTAGATTATTACGCGAATGTAGTACACAATTGATAAAAGGAGTTACATACCTCTTTTCTTCTATTTTATACAAGATTATTGAAATGATAAGTTCCTCAGTAGCTATGTACCTGTCATTAATTCTAAACATAATTACCTACTTGAACTATTTTGTCCCTCATAGTATTTCTAAAGATCGCTTCAGTACCCCGTGCTAATCAAATGTTGAACCCGATTTGTTTATGTTTTAGACATACAGAGTTGTCGTTCGTTCTTCTCTCAAACGTGAAACGTATCAGCAGTAACAAAGTAACTATTCGTTCTATTATTAGGCTATTATTTTTATTGGACTTTTTTTACATAAATCAAAATGAATTGTTAAAATAAATTCGCCATAACACACGCTTTTTAATATGATAATAACGATAAATATTGGGAAGGGGTCGAATATGATTAAGCGGGTTGTATGCCCTTAGTTTAAGATACATCCGTTTGGAGTACCATGAAGCGGGGCAAACATCTTGAGAGGTCGAAAGGTCAACAAAGCATGCAAAAGTAAAAGGCGGCTTCCGCCTAAAAATATTGTAACTATTGTAGGTAATTCTGGATCTGGTAAATCGTTTATAGCGCGTCACGTGGCGTTAGAATATCGAGCAGATGGCTGGCATGTATTTCCAGTAGATCATGTTTTGGAATTAAAACTAATAGTAGACTCTTCTTCTCCACATCAACAGTTCTTTGTTTTGGATGACCCAGTTGGAAAATATCATTTAGACGAAGTTTCCTTCAATGAATGGTTAAAGATCGACAAATCTTTGAGCAGAATCTTTGTAAATAACAACATTAAAGTTGTGATCTCTTGTCGTAAATCGGTAATGTGTGAAGTGACTTATGCGTGTACGTTAAGTTCTAATATTGTTGAAATCGATGATCAGAACCTGCAATTAGATAATGAAGAGAAGAAAGGGATTTTAAAGTGTTATGTACAAAAGGATGTGCTGGCAGATAAAGAAATTGAGGTGATTATAAGAGCCACACTACTTTTTCCCTTGTTATGCCGACTTTTTATTGAAAATGAATATACAAAAAGCGGAATTAAATTTTTCCAAAATCCAACACCGGTGGTGATAAGTGAAATAAATAAATACAAAGCAAGGAAGAAAGAGAAGTATTTAACTCTTGTCCTTCTAGTCCTATATGGAGGCACTATTGATAGTGACAAATTTTTAAACCAGAGTAGAACAAAGTTTGAAGAAATTTGTGAGGTATGTGAAGTAGAAAGAAACATTTCAAGAGTTGTTATTGTTAACAATCTAGATTCTCTTGTTGGATCATTTGTACAAAAAGTGGGGACAACCTTTAGTTTTCTTCATGATTTTCTGGAGGATGTAACAGGTTTTGTTTTTGGAGAACATTCTCCGGCAACGTTACTTAAATACTGTAATTTGAAATTCATCTGACAAAAGGTACGGGTTAATGAAAAAAAATATATGAAGAAAGATCAGGACGACAATGATTTTTGTATAATGCTTGGAGAAAAATATATCGACCCTTTCGTGAAAAGATTATTAAACGAAATATCTCTTAATAACGCAGTTGAAGTGTGTTTATGTCCATCCTTACGTAACAAGAAAGTTGTCCAAAATGTTTTAAATTCATAAGTTGCCTTGCAATTGACGACTTAATAAATGTTGGGACAAGTAGTCAAAACCAGTATTTAGTGTTGCCACATTCGGATATTGTTCTTGAAGAGGAGAGAAAATGTTTTATAAACAAATTAAGTATTATTGAGAAAAACCCAAAGCGTTCTGCATTGAATCTTTTATTGATGTACAATCATGATGACATATGTGACGGCATACTTAAGCGGTTTGAAAATGAAAAGTTACCATTGAATAATGTAGATTGCAGAGAATTATTTTTAGCAACCTGCATAAATGGTAACATTGAACTTGCAAAAAGATTAGCAGTTCTTTGTGGAGAAGATTTCTTGACGGAACATACATTTGGAAAAGCATACAATATTCCCTTGAATCTTTCAGCAGCATTTAATAATATTTATATTTCTAAATTTTTACTGAATATGAATTGTAATATAAATAGTCAATTTTATGGCTATACAGTATTACACTGCGCTGTCTGTAATGGGCATTATGATTCTACAAAGATACTCTTAGAAAATGAAGCCGATATTAACATGTGTTCAATTAAAAACAATCGCACTGCGTTGTTTTGTGCTTGTGAAGATGGATTCGAGAATATAGTTCACTTACTCCTACAGTATAAAGCTGATGTGAACATTTGTCTTTCCAATGGCATGAATCACCTCTATGTAGCTTGTCATATGGGTCACTTGAACATCGTTAAAATGCTCCTAGAAAACAGGGCCGAAATAAATCTATGTGAAAACAGCGGTTGGAGTCCACTTTCTATTGCTTCCTCAGTAGGTAATATCAGCATTGTAGAAATACTCATAGAAAATAAAGCTGATGTAAATTTATGTAATAATATAGGTGATAGCCCACTTATCAAAGCTTCCAACAGAGGTCAAGCAGACGTTGTACAGATTCTCCTGGAAAACAAAGCCGATGTTAATTTATGTGATAATGATGGCCAAAGTCCACTTTTATGGGCTTCCTGCAAAGGACATATAAACATTGTACAAATACTCTTAGAAAACAAAGCCGATGTTAATTTATGTGATAATGAAGGCCAAAGTCCATTTTACTGGGCTTCCAGCAATGGACATAAAAACATTGTACAAATACTCTTAGAGAACAAAGCCGATGTTAATTTATGTGATAATGAGAGCCAGAGTCCACTATACTGGGCTTCACACAATGGACACAAAGACATTGTACAAATACTCTTAGAAAGTAAAGCCGATGTTAATTTATGTAAAAATGGTGGCCAGAGTCCACTTTACTGGGCTTCCAGCAATGGACATGAAAACATTGTACAAATACTCTTAGAAAACAAAGCCGATGTTAATTTATGTGATAATGATGGCAAGAGTCCACTTTTAAGCGCGACCTACAATGGACACAAAGACATTGTACAAATACTCTTAGAAAACAAAGCCGATGTTAATTTATTAGATAATGATGGCGGGACTCCACTATTTTGGGCTACCTACAATGGACACAAAGGCATTGTACAAATACTCTTAGAAAACAATGCCAATGTAAATTTATGTGATAATAATGGCCAGAGTCCACTTCATTGGGCAGTCTCCAAAGGACATATAAACATTGTACAAATACTCTTAGAAAACAACGCGGATGTTAATTTATGTGATAATACAGGTTACAGCCCACTCATCAAAGGTTCCAACAGAGGTCAAGCAGACGTTGTACAGATTCTCCTGGAAAATAAAGCCGATGTAAATTTATGTGATAATGTAGGCCGGAGTCCACTTTTTTGGGCTACCTACAATGGACATATAAAAATTGTAGAAATACTCATAGATATCTCTGTGAGGGAGAGCTGTTACCATGGGAGCATAATTAAAACCGGAGCCTGGATGTTACCCTCCACAAGAGAGGTTATGAACTCTTGTTTTTGTACATATGTAAATTTAAATTTTCTGCCCAAAAATTGTGAATTTAATATGTTGTTTGAATAGATTTATTAATTGTTTGATGGTGTTTTTATTGACCCCCCTTCACCCCCCAAGGGGGGTTAGACTATCTAATGGTGATTGGTCAGTCCTTCTGATGTTAGTTTGTCTGTCTGTCTATTATTTTAGGGCCTTCGGCCCTAGAATTAGTATTAAAAAACAGTTAAAAAGTTATTAGCCTTCGGCAAATAAAGGGCTATATAAAGATCAATGTAGGGGCCGAGATCACTAAGTGGTGGGTACTAGTTCTAACAGGGCACTAGTCCTCCAACACACTCGCACGCCTGCGGCTATAAAGTGCTCGAGGTATGGTGCTTCGGCGCTCTAACGAGCGCCTCGCCTGGTAAGTTTTTGGACGTCTTTAGGACGTCTTTACTATATATTCAACCAAAGTTTTTAGCTTATAAAAAAAGTTAGGGGGGGGGGTAGGTTGAATATTATGATGTATAATTAAAGATCTCGGCTGGGGCAACAAGTTAAAAAAAAAATTTTAAAATCGGATAAAAAATAAAAAAGTTATGATATATTTTATGGGACGTCTCTATCCGCGGGGCTCTATGGTAATACTAGCATTGAGCCCCGCTCTTTTTCCGCAGAAAAAGACGTTTACTCTTTCTTTAATAACTCCTTAACTAGGGGGGATAGGTCAGATTTAAGACCAGATTTGGAAAGCTGAGACTTGGCTGGTCAGTTTAAAAAAAAAATTTTTAATATCTCAAGAGGAAAGTGTCCAAAATTAATGTTAAAAATTGAATGTTTAAAGTAAAAAAAGGCCAGAAAAGGGGGGTATCGTAATTAGTTCTTGAAAGTAGTTCCGGCAGGGAGATACTAAGGGAGAGAACCAAACCGGAAATTTTTTCCGGAATATTATAAAAGAGGGAACCAAATCCGGAAATTTTTTTTCCGGAATAATAGGATATACTAAATGGGGAAACCAAATCCGGAAATTTTTTTCTGGAATAATGAAAGTAGTCCCGGCTAATGATGTAATTGATGACGTCACTGACGTCATATCCTTAGTTTCTTCATAGTAACTACACTATAAAGATGGGGAAAGTTGTGAAAAAGAAATGTGAAGACTGTGGAAAGGAAGTTAGATCAGATAACATGGCTAGACACAAAAAAAATTGTAAGGGAGATGGTCCGCAGAGGAAGAACAGCAAAAGTAAGAACTTTTTCGTCACATGGCAGAAAGATCTGAAATATAAAATGTGCATGATTCTCAGACACAAAGATTGGATACAGGGACTTACCATAGGGAGAGAAGGAGGGATAGATGGAGGGCTGACTCGCTTCCACTCGCACGCCCTGATAACTACTGTTGAGAAGATGGATTATGAAGAGTTTCAGAGTAAGTTACCTGAAAGAGCTGATGATTTGCAGACTGCAAAAAATGTGAGAGACAGTGTAAGATACATTACAAAGGAGGATTATAAGGCAATCTGTGAGGGACATGACAAAGATTTCTCTGCTGTCATTTGGAAGGCATGGAAGTATTTCCACAAATCTAAAGTTCTGTGTGTGACTGATTATCCATACTGCAGTATGTCAAGGCCACAGCAGGTCCAATTCAGAGAATTCTTTGACAGATTTGTGCAGATGGAGAAGGAAGAGGACTTACACAGAGAAATGATAGAGATGGAACTTCGCCAGTGGCAGAAGCAATGCATGGAAGAGTTAGAGAAGCAGGATGACCGTAAAATCCTCTGGATTTACGATGATGTAGGGAACTCTGGAAAGACCACACTGGCAAAGTATCTATGTTTCGATGTTAATTTATGTAAAAATGATGGCCTGAGTCCACTTTACTGGGCTTCCACCAATGGACACAAAGACATTGTACAAATACTCTTAGAATAAAGCCGATGTTAATTTATGTAAAAATGATGGCAAGAGTCTACTTTATCGGGCAGCCTGCAAAGGACATATAAACATTGTACAAATACTTTTAGAAAACAAAGCCGATATTAATTTATGTGATAATGATGGACAGAGTCCACTTTATCGGGCAGCCTCCAATGGAGATACAAACATTGTACAATTACTCTTAGGAAACAAAGCCGATGTTAATTTATGTGATAATGATGGACGGAGTCCACTTTATGGGGCTTTCTACAATGGACACAAAGACATTGTGCAAATACTTTTAGAAAACAAAGTCGATGTTAATTTATGAGATAATGATGGCAAGAGTCAACTTTTTTTGGCTACCTACAATGGACATATAAACATTGTACGAATACTCTTAGAAAACAAAGCCGATGTTAATTTATGAGATAATGATGGACAGAGTCCACTTTTTTTGGCTACGTACAATGGACATATAAACATTGTACGAATACTCTTAGAAAACAAAGCCGATGTTAATTTATGTGATAATGATGGACAGAGTCCACTTTATCGGGCAGCCTCCAATGGAGATATAAACATTGTACAATTACTCTACCGACAAGGGTGATTTAAACATCGTAGAAACAACGCTGATGTCATTTGGTGTGATAAAGGTAGTTTTTGTGCAATCCACATGGCTGCACAGAAAGACCTTGTACCTATTTAAACATTCTACTGGGTTTTAACCCAAATCTGGATAATCGAACATCCAGAGAGGGTTTTACTCCATTGCATCTTGCAGTATTCAATTCTCATGAAGAAGTTGTAGAACTTTTGCTGCAGCATTAATCCAATATTAACATTGGAGATAAGCTGAATAGAACTGCATTACACAGAGCTTGTCTTCTTGCTAACCAGAACATCAACAATATTCTGAAGCAATTTAATGCTGATGCCACACAGAGGGATTTTTTCAATGAAACACCAATAGATTTTGCAAGAAAGAAAAAATTGGTTGATATTGAACGAACCCTAATCAAGTACGTGAAAGAAAATAATTCTTTCACTGGCCTAACTCGTCGAAAAAGAAATGTATCCGAGAAATGTATAATAATGTGAATACGTTTATTCTGTTGGATTTCCACGCAGAACGTTTTCTACTAGAATGAAAAATGAAGTCATCTTTATTTTTTTCCAGAGATTATACAGATTTTCACAGGTTGACATATTTTCATAATTTGGAACATGCGGTTTCGGAACTGAAAGACATTTTATAAATACGATGACTATTTTTCTATGGACTTCATTTCTTCATCCGATTTTGATATTTAACCATCTTCAGGCATGTTCATAAAACTTTCCTAAGATTTGTCCTAAGATCATTCCTAAAATATGACTTAAGAAGAAATTAAAGAACATCCTAAGATCAACTTAGGACATATCATAAGATGTATCTCGACGGTGACTTAGGAACATCTTAAGTTAGGACATCCTAACTTACAATGAACATTTGTTTCTTAAACATTTATCGATAAATATATAATTCTGGAGACATTTTACGGGAAAGAAATTACATAGCATTAAAAAAGGAAATCCATTTACATGACATTGTCCATGTGACCTCAGTGTATTTTAATGTTTGTATTTTTGATATTATAAGATATTTTCTACCGTTTGTAAATCGCATTGAAACAAACCAATTGTAGTTAAGATTTATAGTTTAATTAAGAAATAAACAACTTTATTCAGTGAACATGGCGTTATGAATAGCAATTGCTCTGCTGGCATATTCCATGATGCGCGCTAGCTATACTTCTCAATACGTTTTATAAGTGTAGTAGAGATCGTTCTACACGCGTGTGACAGAGCAGTTGCACTTACAGCAGGAGCAGTTGCGTCTATATAGTGCTATGAACGCAGTTGATGACTACATGTTCATAGGGAGAGAGAGCAGTGGATATCCAAATATAAAATAATAACCTCTCAGTGATCTTTTTGATGATGATTATGATATGAAGTTTTATAAAAGTTTACTTCATTTTTTGATAAATAAGCTGATTCAAAATAAAACGAATTTTGTAGGACACAAAAAAGTATTAAATCAGGGAAATCACTAATTTAAAGCCAAAATTTTATTCTTGAATATTGAAATTCACAATAGTTTAAATATTTGAATGACATTTTTTTAATTTTGCATGTTCTCCCAGCCGGTTAATTAAAGAATTAGAACATCTCAATGGTTTCATTGTCTCTTATAAGCACATGGTATGCTAGCAGATCGAGAAAAGGGGCGTATGAATGGCCCCTCCTTATTTTCCAAAGACAAGTTTATTGCTATTAATATATATATGATGGAAGTTTTTGATAAATGACGATTATGTATATCGCAAAAAGGTCATGTTAGAATGATCATAAGTTGTACTGTATCTGTATCTATAGAACAGTCATTAGCATATGAAAGAGGGGGTATTATTAGTTACATAGTCTTTTAGTGACAGGGTATGGGATGATACCTGGTTAGTAAATTTCATACCTGGCGAGGCGAAGCCGAGTCAGGTATGAAATTTACTAACCAGGTATCGTCCCATACCCTGTCACTAAAAGACAATGGAACGAATTTACCCCACCTGTGCCTATTATGACGTGTTTGTGACGTAATACATCGACCGGGTATAGATTTACAACTGACCGGGTATAAGTAATCCACCGCCTTCACGTGACAAACTTCAACTAATCGTAAGCCAGGATTTCAAGGAAAAATCGACAGAGGCGGGGTAATTGTTTTTATATTCATACAATGTATTAATATGACATTTTAAAAATAAGAATGGGTGGGGTGGCGGTCATAATATGTGATGAATGTCTTTGACAGTGAGATAACAACGGTCATGAAATGGGGAAGGGTGCGATAAAAAAATCAACTTACCTGAGAAAACTTAACAATCATAATAAGGGAAAGAATATTGCCAAACTATCTTCGCTAGCAAAGGGTTTCTGATACGCTATTCTCCTCATAAATCCTAGTTTGGAGAGTGATAGAGAGGGCGGGGTCAATGTTTCAACTTTTTTCATAACCTTTTTTCATTCAATCATTACCCTCATTATAATAACCTTGTTTGTCTTCATTTACTTTGTACTAGTATTTGATACGGAATGAGCAGATCGACTGATAATAA